GGGGGGGGGGGGGGGGGGGGGGGGGGGGGGGGGGGGGGGGGGGGGGGGGGGGGGGGGGGGGGGGGGGGGGGGGGGGGGGGGGGGGGGGGGGGGGGGGGGGGGGGGGGGGGGGGGGGGGGGGGGGGGGGGGGGGGGGGGGGGGGGGTGAGCTTCTGGGGATTATGCTGATTACTTTTGATGCCTCTGAATGTAACCTAGATTTTGTTTGTTAATGATGATTTGAAAACATTGAAACGAGTTGGGTATGTTGGGTTCGAAACGTTTAAAAGAAAGAAGATGCTGATTTGCCTGATTGTTCAGGTGGGTTTGTTTTGAAAGCTCTCATAAGCTCTGATCTTGCTGTAGAATGGAGTCGTGGAACTATGGTTCTCAAGGGAAGGGATTTTTGTCTGATGAGATGAATTCATCTACTAACTCACTTCTGAAAAGCAAATATTCTTTGTTGGGTTGGGAATTCAAGAACCCATGTAGTTTTGGGGACAATATACTTCTTTCAGGTGGTGCTCAGCATGTGGAGAACCAGAGCTTTGGGGAACTAGAATTTCCCTTAATGGTTGGGAAACAATTACCTGATGATTCTTTCAGCGATGTCCTGAATACCAAAATTGATGGAGGGAGAAGCTTGAATCTTGTTTTGCCCACCTCTCATCCACTTCCTGGAGAAGAGGAGTCCACTTCAAAGCTTTCTGGTTCTATTGTTGACTCCAACAATCGAGATTCGTCTCTTATTGATTTGAAGTTGGGCAGATTTATTGATACAGGGGATGCTCACAGTTTCAAGTACTCCAAGAGAGCTGCAATTTCATCTTCCACTGAGTCATCAACTTCTTATAAGAAAATGAGATCTCAAGGGGTGAATTTCCTGACTCCGTTTTGCCAAGTTTATGGGTGTAACAAGGATCTCAGCTCCTCTAAAAACTACCACAAGAGGCATAGGGTTTGTGAGGTTCATTCAAAGACTTCCAAAGTTATTGTGAATGGCATAGAACAGAGGTTTTGTCAGCAATGTAGCAGGTTGGTTATATTTCCACTCATGTTCTCACCTCAAATCATGATTCTGTTCTTCAACAGTCTTTTTGGTCTTTTTTGTGAAACCATAAGAGGGGAGTGAGCACTTTGCTTATCTTTGTTTCGACTGTGACTCTAGAAATTCCTCTTTTTCATTATGATGAGCTTATCATCAATCCAGACATATATTACCCTGTTTGAACCTGACTGGGGTACTTCGATTAAGGATTTGTTCTTACTTTCAGGTTTCATTTGCTTTCTGAATTTGATGATGGTAAACGCAGCTGTCGTAAACGACTTGCAGGCCACAATGAACGTAGAAGAAAGCCTCAAGTCAGTTTTCACTCAGGAAGGGCACAGAGGTTGCTTCAGCCATATAATGGTATTATAGTATATCTCATTTCTTTTCTCCATATCCTCTAACCTTCCATCTTTCCATCTCACTATCTCTGACTCTCTCTCAAGATTTTTTTTTTCTTGTTTTATTTAATCTTGAAAGGGTTGGTTTGATCATTATTAGGTCATTCAATATTTTCATCTTCTTTTTTACACAATTTGTACTATGAAGCTCTCCAATATTATTTCCATCTTTAGAGAATGATTAAACTTCAACGTTAGGCCGAGTTGAAATGGTAGAATTGTGAACCTTTTAAGCTTTGATCCCTTCCTTTCAACCCTTCAAGTGAAACTTTTTTGGGAAATGAGGAAGTGAATTAAATTGTGATAGTTCTGTTCTAACTGTCATTACTTGTTTATCGCTTCATTTGGATCGTACAAGCCAACAACCACATCTAAAAAGTGAAAGTGTTACAGCTGTTTATTGCTTCATTTGGATCGTAAGACGAATTTCGCCTTTATTTAGATGAGTATGAACTTAATTACATCTCTTATCAAGTTTTAATCAAGCTTTCATTTCATTTTATTTTGGGTACTCATCTTGTAGCATATCTGTGATGGTGAAAAATAGAATAATACATGGAATATTACTTACTGGGTTTGTCAAGATCAAACTCAGAAAAAGATGGACAAGTCTTTAAGATTGTTTTCTTAGAATCATGCGTCCATTTGGTGAATACTAAACTCAGGGGTTATATTTTTAGTCCTGTTTCTGAATTGTCCTTTACCTTTTGATTTCAACGCAAACGTTGAAAACTGACATACTAGCCATTTTGCTACTCTTCCTTCAGGCTTAATTGGCTGCCACTAGCATTTTAGTTGTTTTAAAGGTCCAAAAGTTTTACAGTATTTGAGAACCATATTAACTGTGTGGCAATATCTTAAATATTTCAAGTTGTTTGACACCAAAGTTCAAAGTCAAAGATTCCCGACAGCCATCCATCCTGAACATGTGCTTGCTTGATTGCTTGGCTGTTTTAATGTATTTAACATCTAGTTGAGCAGTTTCATTTGTTTGTTTTGGGTATTCTGTATGTATCTTTGAATCTGATTATGCTGTTTTTAGTATCTTTTAAAATCTTCATGAATATCACGGCTTTATCTTATAAGCACTAAGCATACCAAATTCCTCTATATTTTCAATATAATGTGTTGGCTTTCGGCCCATGTTGTTATCTACCCACTTCAACATTGTTAATGTTCACACTACTGATTGAAAATTTCAGGTAATGGAGACAGAAGATTTCAGGAGAAAGCATTGGGTGCAACTTCATTTATCTGCAAAGATATACTGTCTAGTGATGTTTATTATCCAGAGAAGCTTGGAAAAAATGATTGGCGTAAGCGTATAAAAGTGGAGGGCAAGAATGATTATAATTCTATGTGTGCAACTTCAGTGGGGGACAGGCTTCTGAATATGAAATCTCCCTTGCTTCCCTATGATTTTGAAGTTCAGATACCTTGTTTTCAAGGAAATGGAAGTAATGCAGCAGCTACAGAAAACATGTTATGCGACACAAGTTGCCAATATTCTCATAACGTGGGAGGCCTCCATATGGACACACACCCATTGTTCCACCACACTAACCTATCAAGCGAAAACTTTGGAGTTTATGATGCAGCATCAACCATCCAAGGAGTTTCTGGAAATCCGGATTATGGGTGTGCTCTCTCTCTTCTGTCATCACATTCACAAAATGCATCGACTCATCCATCCATAGTTCACGTGCCTCGTGCTTTCACCATGTCCGAGAGTAGATCGAATTACAGCATGAGTGAACTCTCTGAAAAGCTCATGGGAGTGAGCTCACAGGCTTCTTCAACTGGGATTTCAAGTAAGTTTGCCTCCGGGATGAGTGAAGCTCAAATGGTTCCCATAATGACCGGTGAAAGCAGTGATCGTAGTGTCACCTTTCAGATCACTGATGGGGTTCTTCATAGATCAGGTTTGGGTAATGCCAAGGCTAATCTTTCCTATGAACACACTCCAACTATGGACTTGCTACAACTTTCATCACAGCTCCATCGAGTGGAACATCAAAGGCACTCCATGCAGGTAAATAAATAAGAACATATTTTTAGCATCTATATATCGACTCGAAAACAAAGCTAAGCACATCAAAAGGGTAGACTAGCAACCTTTTAGGTTTTCCTTTTAATGGCTTAAATAGAAAAGCAGTTCCATCAAGGCAACTGGGAGAATGCTACAAGAAATCTGCTAAGATCAAAATTGCTAATTCTATGTTGTCGTGATTGTTTTGCCTGTAGCATGACACTGCTTGCTTCTTTATGACCAACTCAGGTCCATGGAGGACTTTGTAAGTGATCCGATGTTGCGTAGGAATTGTCTTTAGGTTTATTATCATGATCCTTATTTATCAACTAAAAAGAGAGAATGTCTACCCCCACCCTTCTCTTCATGGAAATGAATTATGCAAGATTCCCAATTGAAGAAAAGAAACCTAAGCACTCGTTTTACTTTTCGCGTCATTATATTTTATATTACGTTTAATTGTTTATCGTTTAATTGTTTATAGTTTCGACTGAAACCGAACCCGTCTTCTAAAACAGGACTCTGTGTAGGAGACTTCATGAAGGCTGTGGAGGAGTTGAACCCATCAATCCTATGTCAATGGTACATTTTGTTAGTCGAGGAGAGAACAAGCTGTTGTATAATCTTCCTGTCTCGTACCTCTAACCTTGTTTTGTTTCCTAGTTCGATTGTTTCTATAATACCAATGCTTTCATCTTGGGACTAACTACTCGAATCCCAAAAGAATCGTCGTAAAATTAGTTCGCACATGATTGAGATGCTACAATTGTGCTATTTAAGATGTCTCATTGCATATTCTGTTGCTATCATCCTATCCATTTGGGAAAGAATCAATATTCTTGTCAAGAAGCAATCAATATATTACAACACACAAACAAACCAAGTTCACAAAATGATCTAGAAATGTGAAGAAAACCAAACAAAAGAGACCAATCTCTAAGAAAATTAAATAATCATTTGAATTCTCCCTGCAACAATCTCAGTTTGAAATGGCTAAATGCTCAAAAAATCACAGAAATACATGAAATCGTTTCCTTTTACTACTATGGCTAAAGCTCATTCTCTACCAATCCTCTGAGATTCCAAGCGAATGCTAAGCCGGTAACATTGGAAGGTAACATCAGTGAAAAGCTACCAAGAAGTATCGATTATCCAAATCCAATGCCTATTTCGAAGCACCATTTGGCAGATCGGCAGCTTTACTGTCTGATGGGTTCAGCTCATCCCATGCTTCAATCCAAGTGACCATGGCATCTGCAAGCTTGTCGAAGTATTCGTCAACGCCAGCAAGTTTTGCTTTAACTTGCTTGGAGAGTTCAATGTAGCATTCCTGCACTGTGGTGCATTCTTTTGGAAGTTTAACAGCTTGGAAAAATGGTATCAGTTCCTCTTGCCAGTAGATTCCCTTGTATTCCTTCTTCAGGTTTACAAATGGGTTGCTCGCTTTGCTGTGCCAAATGTAGGGCAGTCCCGTCTTCACTCCAAATCCTAGATGGTCGCATATTACCTAGTACACAAGATCCAACTCCAAATATGATCAGCTTCGATTGAGGTATTGCAAAACACGTGAAACAAGAATGAAAATGAAAGAGAATCAGCTGGTTATGGGGGGATGTCAACGTACCTTCATGCACCAACCAGCCCACATATCGTCGTAGCGTCCAATTGGCTGACCATCACCCATGAGACCGAAATACATTGCTGGGCCGATCAGCTCACGGTCAAATGCCAGATTCATACCACACATGGGGAAGAGGGTTGACTTTGGAATAGTCAAGACTGCATCAACATACCTAAGGGATAGCTAAAACAATCAGCTTATGATTAAAAAAACAACTCTAGTGTAATTCATTAAGTTTATACCTTGTATTTCTCTCAAGGGGCTTCACAAGCTGTGTGGGTGCATCGTAATCCGGGATGTTGAGCCACAGGCCATGAGACACTGCGGTAGCGACACCCTCCCGGAGACTAAATGGATATCCACGCACGAAGTCAGCACCCTCACGGTAGGGGTCGTACAAGGTATTGAAGAAGTTGGGTGTAGACGGGGTCAAGAGGTTCTTGATGTGCTGTTCAAGTGCATTGATGTTCTTGCCTGATGGATCCTTTGCAACCTGCAAGACGAACCCAAGAACACATCCTCAGATCCATAAGGAACGATCCAGCCACTGACAGAATATTAGCTCTAGCTATACGAGATCACTTGCTTGCCGAAATATGTAGCAGATCCATGAGTTTAGGCAACTACAATAGAAAATTCTAAAATGATTCATGGTCTCGGGCGAGTTTCCGGACAGATCTACTACCGACGAGTGGAAAGCTTAGCTTTTTAAAGCATGCAAATCTGTAAACACGCCGCTAACATCGTGCCCGAAGATGTTATAGCTAAACAAAGAGTTCAAAAATCCAATCATCTAAAATTCAACCAATCCCACTAAAACAGGGCATGGCAAAACCAACATTCCAGGACGAACCATCTCTACACACAGAACATTCAAAAACACCCCAAATTCCACAATGCATATCCCAAATCAGATCAGATCCAAAATCCCGAAACATGGCACAAAAATCCCAATTCAAGAGTGGGGGAAAAACTCACAAAGCAGTCATCATCTATGGTGTAGATATACTTCTTCTTGGAGACCATGTAACCAAAGCACCGGCAAGCAGAATCCTTAAAGGAAATGCAAGAAGCTTTAGGACCCAGAATCCGATTGATATCGTTGCGATTGTAGAGCTCGTAGTCAAAGCCCTCAGGGACCTTGATGACCTTGGAGGGGTCGCCGTCCTGAACAATGATGAGATGGTAAGGCTGGAAAAAGGGCCTCCACATCTCAAGAAAATCAAGGTTTCGGATAGTGGGTATGACGATATCGAGCTCATCTTTGAGCAGGGGAGTCGGAGAAACTTTGGAATCGGCCATTTGGGTCGGAATGTGGTACAGAGAGATGGAATGAAACGGTGAGATTAGAGGGTTTGAGCTCGAATTCGATGAGGGGTTGGGGGAGGGTTTTACAGTGGAAGGGAAGAGGGGAGAGAGTCCAATTTATTGACCATCATCTGTTCTAGAATGTTAAAGTAAACGCATGTTCATTTGGCATCCGTTTTCTATATGTTAAAAAATTGATTAAATTGCAAATTTAATCTTGCAGTTTAAGAAGACTGTCAATAAAAGTATAGAACCTCCAGTCACGTTCTCCCTCGTTATCTTATGCGTTTCCCATTTTCATAACATTTCACAGCCTTGTTGACATTAAACTGTTCTTTCAAAATTAGATAATAATAATAATAATGGAACTACCATATCCTTGCATCTTCATATTAAAAAATATCTAACTTTGTCTGTCACATGAAGCAACACTCAACAATTGGATCACCAAACCTTGTGCTGACTTGAGAAGTATTTTAATTTTAAGTTTGAGTTAGAATTATTAGAATTACAAGCCGAATGGATTTAAATTAAAGTAAATATCATTTTTGGATGCTAATGCCTAATTTGATAGGTTAGTGCTTTAAACCTTGCAAATTAGGGGTGTACATCCAACTCCCTAACTCCAAAACCCAATCCAATCCAACCTAAGTTATAAGGGTTTGATTGAGTTTAAAAAGATTTTGAGTTTGGATTGGGTTCATTTTTTGGAACCCGATCTGGGTCGGGTTCAAAATTCAAATTATTCGGTCCACCCGACCCAACTTAAAAAACCTTAAAAATAAATAAATAAAATAGGTCCATGTCCAGGTAGCAGAAGCCCACACACAGTCCAAGCCCATGAGTCTGCCCCTACTAATGGCACGTCAGCACTCTGCAGGCTGTCTCCCTAACTCTCTCTTCTCTTTGATCGTGAGTCAGAGACTTTGTCTCCTAGTCTCACGCGCAGCGTTCGTCTTTGACCTTGAGGATAATTCGGTAATTGAAATAAAGTCTCACACACTTGCAACGCAAAGTTCGTCTTTGACCTTGAGGATAATTAGGTAATTGAAATAAAGTCTCACACACTTGCATCACAGCATTTGTCTCCGTTGTTCGTCGTTCTTATTTCACTTTTGTCTTGTCTCTGTGTGTGGTCGAACATCGACGCCACTCGCCTCTTTATTTCTCCGTTGGAGTTCCTTTTTCTCTGCTCGACCTCGTCTCTGTGTTTCTTGTCGGACGTCGCCACTGACTGTCTCTCCACTTGGCGATCCCTTCCACTTTCGTCAAACGTCTCTACTATGTTTTCTCTCAGACTTAGAAACAACCCGAACACAACCCAAAAATAGAGGGATAGGTTGGGTTGTGAAAATTTTGGGGTTCGGTTTGCTTACCAATCCAAAGAACCCGACTTTTTAAGTTGGTCTAAAAAAAATCCTCCAACCCAATCCAATCACTACGACTATACACACTTGTAGTTGCAATGCAATGATTGACACTCTCAAATTCTAGTGTTTATGTGGCATAGAAAATTTCAATTGTACGAAGCTTGTCCTTCCAAGGTAAGAAGAAATAGGATGGATGTAAAGTTGTGGAAGAGGAGGGTTGGTACAGTGAAATCACAGCAGATGGAGGGTGGAGATAGCAAAATGAAAGGGAGTAAAAAAAAAGGTCACCCTCCGTCTCCATATATCCAAGAGATGGAAGGCAAAGGGGTTGAGCAGTTTGGTTGGAGTTTGGGAGTGTACACAAAGGTACGATGGGGAAGGAGTTGAGAGAAATGGGTAGGGCAAGAGCAAGGGCCAGGACCAGCGTTTGTCTTCGGATTTCTTAATTTTCTGAAAGGAACCTAGTGGAGGTATTGTTATTAATTGTTGTTGTTGTTCTTCAGTTTCTGTTCCAAATCAATGTAAAACATACAATTATTCCTCCTCACTTTCTCTTCATTATTTCTTACCATGATCTTTCAGAGTCAGAGAAGCCCTAAACATGGAAGCACAAGGAATATGGTTCAAATCTGAAGAGGATGTTTCAAAATCTGAAATTTGGGTTAACCAAATACCAAGAAAAAGGCAAATCTAGAGAGACCCAAGAGGAAAAGATGAAAAGGTGTTGCCACCAGATGAAAAGGAAACGGAAACCGAAGACAGCAAGAACAGGGGAGAGGGGAAGGGAAGGGCAAGAACAGGGGAGAGGGGAAGGGAAGGGAAGGGCAAGAACAGGGGAGAGGGGAAGGGAAGGGAAGGGAAGGGCAAGAACAGGGGAGAGGGGAAGGGAAGGGAAGGGAAGGGAAGGGAATGTGGTTATGATTTTGGAAAGGGCGTGGAGTGAATGAGATAGCAGTGTTGAGAGTGGGACACGTTGTGGCAGAAGAGCAGCAAGGGGATATTATATGAGAACAACATTCCTTTCTCCTTTCTGCTTTATTTGCACGATGACTCAACCTACCACACCATACCCCAACCACCTTCCCCACATCCCCACATCCCCACATCCCCACATCCCCACATCATCAAAATTCAAATATTGACTTTTCAACTACATTATTTGCAACTTTAATTTTTTCTATTTTTTTAAATTAAATCTCAAATTAATGTATTTTATTTACAAATAAACTTTTGTGGAAGATATAAACAACAAATTCAAGGTCTGACCATCTAGATGAGATGACCACTACACTCCAACCAACCAAATATTCAATTGACTTGTATAAATACCAAACCCTTCACTTCTCTGCAACTATTTTAATTTCTATACAATATTCAAATTTCAATCATTTCTGATCTGACAACCATTTTATTTTATTTTTCTAAAAATCAAACATGTTTACCAATAATTTATCTATTTTCCAACACATTAAAAAAAAACCATGATCACATCTTCACACTTGATCGTGGCCTCATATTATTGATGCAATTCAAATAAATAAAAAAAAAAAATTTAAAAACAAGATTTCAAACCTATGGTTTCAGTTGAACAGTGCAGAATAAATATAAAGGCGAAACCACTGAGATGATACGGCATCGTGTTGTTTCTAGATATTCCAATTTCCAACCACCACCACTACTTTAGACTTCAACAATTTATATAAATACATTCAATCAAAAAAAAAAAAAACTTTCATTTACCTTCCCTTTCCGATTCCTTCCTTCAAGCATGGGCTTCAACACACCGGAGCGCCGCAGTTCCGTCCTCACGTCGCCGAGGCGAGCGGCGGCGGCCATGCTCGTCTCTCTATCCACTCTCATGACGCTCTGTGCGAAACAAGCGTACAGAGCGTCGAAAAAGATTCAAACAAAATTGAAATCGAAGCGGTTTCTGAAGAACACGAAGACGAAGAAGAAGAAGAAGAAGAAGAAGAAGAAGAAGAACCGCGGCAGCGACGAAATGGAAGAGGAGTGGGGAGACGGGGGAGTATGGCAGAAGGCGATCTTGATGGGGGATAAATGCGAGCCCTTGGATTTCTCGGGCGTAATTTATTACGATAGTTCCGGGAAGCAGCTGGACGAAGTGCCTCCACGATCGCCACGTGCCAGTCCCTTGCCATCCTTTCTTACATCCACTCACCCCCAGGTGTATTGAGTTAAACAGAGCATCGGTGTGTTAAGGTCACCCGGCGATGAATTTCAGGTAGGTCAAGTAATGGTGTGATTGGATGGGGGATGGGCCTTGGTTTTTATTTTGCAAAATTCTGTCTCTGTATAGTAGATTGAGTGTGAGTAATATTGATTGCGTGTAAATTACGTTTTTGTTTTCATTTTTGTTGCTCCACCGAATTGTTGTATGAAATCTCACAAAATTAGAATGTCTTTTTTTTTCTTTAATATACCCATTAGCGAAAAAAGCATGGCAATTCTCATCGGAATCCTCTGTTTATTTGTACTGTTAAACATCATCAACAACACAAGATCAGTTCCATCCGTAAACAAACAGGACGGGACCCCTTTCATTAATGGCCCATCAGGATCGAGAAAACGTTAATCCATTGCAACCAAATACAAGCACAGAAGCTTTTTATATATATATACACAAGTTAGTTTATTTATTTATTTATTTTGGTGTTATTATGAAGCAAGTTTAGGAGGGTGTGGATTGGATGCAAATCCAAAGAGTTTCGTTTAGCCTTTAGGTCAATGTCAAGTGGGAACCTATAGGCGTCAGTGTCCGAACTCGAATCGGCTCAACTTTCACCACAAGGGTTCTAGGGTTTAAGGCATTCCCTAAATTTCAGATTTTTCTCTCTCATTCACCAAGACCATGACCTCCTCCAATGCTGCACTCTCAAGAACGCTCTGCCGCTCTTTGCTCCCCACTTCTAAACCTTCTCGCATCCTTCCCCTGTCCTATTGCGCCAACAATCTTTTCTTCCGCTCCGTCTCAGACACCAGCGGCTCCAGTATTGATTCGGACACCGAATTGGACTCGCACCCAGTACCTAATCGATCTTCTGCTTCACGATCGTCAACCCAGACGAGACCGGTCTATAACCGACCTCTGGAAAATGGCCTCGATGCTGGCATTTATAAGGTGGTACATTCATGTGTTGGGAATTTCGAATCCTCTGTTCTTTTGTTTTAATACTAACTTTGTGTGTTTGGGCGAAGGCTATTTTGGTGGGTCAGGTGGGGCAAAGGCCATTGCAGAAGCAGCTGAAGAGTGGGAGAAGGGTGACGCTGTTATCAGTTGGGACGGGTGGCATTCGTAACAATCGGAGACCCTTGGCTAATGAGGAACCCAAAGAGTATGCAAATCGGTGCGCAGTTCAGTGGCACCGGGTTTCGATTTATCCTCTGAGACTGGGCGATGTTGCCATGAAGCACGTCGTACCTGGGTAAGCTTTTCAGTTTTAACCATTCATCAATCTATCTATCTGAGATACATGGAGTATGTCATAGAAATTGGTCCATATTTTGTGCGTCTTCAGTTCAATGTTGTATTTGGAGGGGAATTTGGAAACCAAAATTTTCAGTGATCCAACAACTGGTATTGTTGGACGTATTAGAGAAATTGGCATTCGTCGAAATGGTAAACCCCTTATTATTTTTGAAGTTGCTCATGTGTTCTGGGTACGTAGGAGGGATTACTATGATCTCCGTTGACACAAAGTTTGGTTGTGATGTATGTAGGGCGCCTTGTATTTTTGGGCAAAGGAGGAAATGATGTTCAAAGGAGGAAATGATGTTCAGCCGTCGACTCAACCAGAGTTCAAAGGTGTTGGCTATTACTAACAAATGTTGTTCCCAACTTTCTCACATCTGAAGCTTTGAATCACACCCACTTTTCTCTGTAAATCTTCTAATTTCACTTACCCTTTGTTAAGTGACAAATGTTTGATTTACATGACTTTGCAATCCAAACTAGATTTTGCTTTCTCATTGCAACCTATTCGTATTTTTAAGACGAAACTCTGCCATCTTATTGTTTTTCAATCCAAAGTAATAACAACTCGCTATTACTTCTTTCATCATCATTCATGCTCGTCTGTATAGATCAACAATCGAGTAATAGATCAACAATCGAGTAAACGAACAAGCCAAATGTATAATTACAATCCTTAAAACACAAAAATAAGAAACATCTATTTTATGTACAATCAAATAGTTATTAAAGAAAAATATCTGGAGAAGATGAAAAAAGGAGAGTTTTTTTGGAAGCATCATAGATTCATAATATAACATAAAGGAAAGAGGTCCTCTACCTTCCGATTGCATTGGGGCCGTAGTTTGACCCACATTACTCTGTTATCAATATGCACTCTCTCGTGTGTGGTTATCTTTTCGTGTATTGCTTATCCACGAAATCCCCTACGCCGCCCCGAAAGGCTTACAAAGGCTGAAAGAACTGAAGCACTGAGATCACCAAACCAAACCCAGGAAGGAATACTCGGAATCTCAGGAGACATGTTGCGAATCCCCAAATTTCATCATCCCCCGAAGAAGCTTCAACACCCTCCCACTCCTCCTCCTCCTCCTCCTCCTCCTCCTCTTCAAACTCAAAACTTCCCCACTTCCCCAAATCTTCCATTCATCAAGCAATGTTGCACAATCTCCCGCCGTAAGCTCACCGTTGGAAGCAATTCCCTCTTTCTTCTTCTCTTTGGCTCTCAGATTCTAGACCCTTTTTACAACTCCTCCAAAGCAGAGGCTGAAGAAAGCTTGGGTGAGAATGAGCAAGAATTACAGAGATCAGAGAGTTCCAACGATGTCCCTCCTCCTTGCACAGAAAAGAGCCCCACCAAGCGTGCATTTCTTGATATCTCCATTGATGGACAGCCTGCTGGTCGCATTATCATTGGCCTTTATGGCAATGACTCTCCTGCAGGAGTTGCTAGATTCAGTAACCTTGTGAGCGGAGCTGCAGGGGTTTCTTACCGAAGAAAAGACTTTGTGAAGATCACATCAAACTATGTTCAAAACAGTGGAGTGAGATCTTATGGTGTGGATGTTGAGCTTGCAAAGAGGACAGGGGGGAATGAGTTAGCATCCGAAACTCTTAAAGATGAATGGGCGAGTGTCAATGAGAAGTGCCCTGGTATTAAGAACTTGGCTGGAACTGTGGGAATCATTGTGAGAGACCCTTTGAAACCACCACCCAAGTTGAAGTTGGTAGCCCGGAAAGGGAAGCTGGAGGTGGATCAGGAAGAGGTCGGAACTGAACCGAATGGGACCGAGTTCACGATTTCTGTCAAGGATTCGCCAGAGCTGGACAATTCGACCCTGGTGATTGGAACAGTTTTGGAAGGGATGCAAGTTGCGGAAAGGATTGCTCAAGTGAAGACAGTGAAAGACAACACTACTTCTCCTTACTTCAGGTAAACTTCATATTTGCTAACATAAATTTATGGGTTTGGTATGAATGAAGTAGGTTTACTTGATAGTGTGAGGTCTGGATTGATGAACAGGGTGGCAAAGCTAATAGGAGATAAGAGAGCTGTTGTTGCAGAAAGAGGCTTCAACCGCCCTTATTCAAAAGTGGTTGTCACAAACTGTGGGTTGCTAGAGCTAGAGCAATGACATGGTTGTGCTCCCAGTTTTGCCCTTTTCTAAATTCAACTATGCCCTTTATGAATGAATGAGGTATTCTATGTCATACCAAAAATTTGAAATATTATTATCTCATAGGCTCATAAAGTTGATTCATCGTATAATTTACGAGAGACAGATTATGTTTCAAATTAATAGCCCTTCACTTTGTCACTCTTAACTTCAATAGAAGCAACCTCAAAAAGTTACTATACAATATTAGAAAATCCCATAACTAGTTATTTAGATAATGATACGACAGCAGAGACATCATTGTAGAAGGAACTCAATTGGGGAAGGCATGACATGAAAAACCCATCTCCAAAGGGTGTATGTATCCCATACCTTAGAAGAGGCAGCAATTTAATCCCGGAAGCTCTGTCAAGTAACGAGCCTAGCGCTTGGTGTTCTCGTTAGAAAGACTACATTTCAATTTCTTTGCAGAAGATGTGAATAGATTTGGAGCCGATCTAACGGGGGCATCAACCTGGAAAAGGAAACAGAGTTTTGCAATGATTTCCTGGAGATGAAAGTCACAGAAAATCTCGAGTCAACATCTGCATTGCTCCAAAATATAACCAGAAGTTCTTTACGTACCTTAATAAGAGAACCCGATGGAGAGTTCTTAGGTGAATGTGGCGAAGAGTGATGCGGAATTTGAGTTAGGAAGGGCTTCTGCATTCTGAAACAGCTTGTCCACCATGGAATCGACCCTCTTCTCTGAATCTTCCGTCATTGATTGATTTTCCAGGAGCGTTAAACGTAGTATCAATCGGTCTGTCTCTCCGACTCCGCCCTCCTCACCCAAACTAGAGTAATTGATCAGAGCTACATTACAAAATTTAATTTTAAAATCTTTTCAATAATAGAACCCCGCCAAATTTCTCAATATTTTGAATCACACAAAAATATCATTTTAATTAAAAAAAAAAAAAAAAAAAGGTAAACCCATTTAAGAAAACAGTTATACGAATTCAAAGGGTATACCTTTGTTGTGGCTGACCACCAAAGCCTCTCACTTTCTCCCACGTCTCTCTCCACTTCCAACTACGCTTCACTTCCTCTATTTAACCCTTTTTTCAAATCCTTTCATTAATTCTGTAACCTCCATAACACAAAACTACAATGGCTTCCCTACTCTCTTCTGCTTTCTTCCTCCTCTTTCTGTTCTTCCACTTCTTCTCTGCAACTTGCACTGAATTCCTCGTCGGTGATGAACATGGGTGGGCTGTCCCTCAGCATAAACACGCTGATAGATACAATAAATGGGCCTCCCATAACAGATTCAACGTTGATGACACCCTCCGTAAGTGCATCTTTTTCTTTTTTTGGTGGTGTTGTTTTGAGAGATTGGTAATGCAGTTCTTGATGTTGTCAGATTTCAAGTTCGAGAAAGATTCAGTGATGGAGGTGACAGAGGAAGAGTACAAGCAATGCCTTTCTTCGAAGCCTCTGTTGTACAACAACAATGGCGACGCAGTGGTGAGACTTGAGAGAGCAGGGCTGTTCTATTTCATAAGTGGAGTTTCAGGGCACTGTGAGAAAGGGCAGAGGATGATAATCAAAGTGTTGGAACCGCTCAGCCCTCCGCAGCCACCCACTGCTCCGCCCCAAAACAACAACACCCCACTCTCTGTTTCATCTCCAATGCTTGCACTTTTCTTCATGTTCTTTGTTTCCTTTCTGTTCATTTGAATCGTTTGTGATGAATTCCGTGTTGGGTCTCCTTTAGAATCAACTCTTTGTTTTATCTTTTTATTTGGATCAGATTGTGTCATTGATTTATATTTGCATAACTTTTTTCCATCGTTATGAATGGATTGCTGATTTCTGGTTTGGTTCGTTTTCTGCATTCAGTATGTGAACAACATTAATGGGTGAAGCTTCAGAGAGTTATGATCCTTTCCATGGATATCAAGGCAATCAAGCTTAACATCTCTAAGACAATCCGCACCCAATACAAAACAGTTTATACTTTTGTAAAGGTTTACAGTTTAAATTGATACAACGATAAAGGTTTTTATTCATACATGGTTAAAACTATAAACTGATCCTTCCCTTTATAATAAACAAATTCGTGACATTGAGAAATTTTTTTTTTGTAGGACTTTTAATTTATCATGTTTGGTAATAACATGTATAGGACTTATATTTTTACTCTTTCTTAGTAACTCTATAGTTAAAAATAAAAGGTATTAGAAAAAATAAAATTTTGGACCAAAAATTAAATTCAAAACTTAAAAAGAAAAAAAATATAACAATGTAAAATTATAAACCATTCAACTAAATAAGAAACTAAACTGGATGCTTCTAAGACCAAAAAGCATTTTGTTTTGTTTTGTTTTTTTTTTTTTTTCCAAACATTTGCTTCAATGATTTTACACCATAAAATGAGTAACCACTAAGTTACAATTCTAATTGGATGCTAATATTACACCGAACATACAAATGATTAAATCCGAACAATTAAAATTAAAAAAAAGACGTAACTAAGTAAAGATCCGTTGTTGGTGTAAAAACTCGTCAGTTTTCTTTTTCCCATATAAAATAACAACAGTAACAACAAAAACAAAATGTTGTGGATTAGGCATGTGGGCTGCAACACTTATATCATCACATGTAGAAGCAAGCAGGGCCTAAGGCTACAGCATGTCTGACCAAATTGGGAGACATCTAGCCGAAGTAGATGCAAGTCTTCATCAGAATGTAACACTTTAGACAGACAAATGGTAAGCATATATCACCTCACCATCCAAACTCACACAATGGGCTCTTATTTTACTTCTCTTTCTTGCCTATACACACTGACACTTTGTAACCTCAATTATCATCTAAAAAATTTATTACTATTTCAACTCTAAAATGGTTAAACCAAAAGGAACAGAATTGGACATGGAAACTACTATACGAAATAATGAATGAGCCTAAAGGGCCATCAGCTTTAGCAGGGAATTTTCTTTTCTTTTGGGTGGGGGTACAGAACATGGTGAAAAGTCTATATTAATTGGCGCAATGATGGTATAATGAAAAAAAAAAAAAAAAAAAAAAAAAAAAAAACACTAAGCAAGACATGAAATTGGAGAAGACATCGAGACACAAACATGCCCAATCTTAAACTTTATGAAACCCTAGACATCCACTTGATTNCCCCTCTTTCTCTGGGGTATGGAGAGAGAGAGAGAGAGAGAGAGGGAGAGAGAGCTTATGAAGGCCATGAAACCAGGAAGAGAAAGAAAGGCCACTAACCATGGTGGCTACATCCTCCGAGCCCACTTGCCAAATCGTCCATGTGGAATTGGGTCCTTTTCTTCCAACTACGGCCATCTTTTGACGATTTATGGTTGCTATTCCTCACCCTTCGTCTATGATAGATTCAAACTTTTCCCCGTAATAATTCATTAGATTCTTGAGGCCTTCAAAATCTGTCACATTTGATTAATCTTCGCTGAAAATATAGAAAAACAACCTATGGTGAAGTGTTAATCCCAAAACTATCAGAAAAGAATCAAGTCAGAAACTTAAGAGATGTGAAAGTGGAGAATCGGTACTTTGAAGAAGGGTGAAAAGCAGTCAACAAAAGGAGGAAAGCTGAATGTGCTGTTGGGGATGCTAGTTGCCATTCCTTTGATTATTTTTGTTGCCTTTTGATGACTTCTATGATCTGGCTTTATTTCAAAAACATATTGGGATTAATTTTCCCACGTAGATATGTTAAAACAAAAAAAGTAATGATTGGTTCATCTTGATCATTGCCCAGTACATAAAATGCTAAAATTTTGTGGGAAGGTTATGTGAACCTAAGTCGCTAGATGATCGAAACCTCACAGGGAAAGATGAAGGAAGAAGACACTGAAATAATGGTCGTTGGTGAATTTATTGAAGAAGGGTGGGGGGGGGGGGGGGGGGGGGNGGGGCATCCTTACCCAAAAGAGCACCCACCATCTGAAAAAGAAGGCAACAGCAAGAATAATCTCCTTTCCTTCTTTAGCCTTCTTTCAACTTTACTCTCTAATTCAAAGTATGACCCAGTTTACAAGCTTTTGTATCAAATTAAACAATGAATCTCTTCATCTCCATCTATTTACCAAAAGAGAGGCAGAAAATATGTCTGATTCCACTTAAAGTACAGATCAGTCTTCAAATCTCAAGATAGAAGAGATTTTGACAAATAAAACATGTAAATAAAAAATCATTTAGTTCAACGGAAGGAGTTGTAATTTAACAGACTAAAGAGAAAAGGGAAAGATTGATCCTCCTCACCTCCTCAATAGCTCGTTACCACGTATAAATAGGACAAGATCTATACACCAAACTGGAGCATAAAGCATCCTCGTTAAGGATAGTTAAGAAACCAACAAACTAAGTTAGATCCACAAGCCACGATTAAGAAGATGATGCAAATCTGGAGCTATTGAGGAGGAGACAAATAGCAAAAGCACTTGCCTGCAATAAGTAATAGCATGGATTAAATCTCTCTCTTTCTTTCGCTCCTGTAACATGTTGTTGATTGGGGAGTCTCTGCTATTGGCAAACAAGAAGAATTTAACCAAAATGCAAAGACAATCATTTGATTGCAACGCCCACCTTGTCTTATCAAATATAAAGGACTGAACAAAAACCTATACATATACACCTTCATGGCCCCCTCCTCCCAACATGTTATAATGTATTGCCCCCCCCCCCCCCCCCCCCCCCCC